TTAAAATAATATTCTGATTCTTTTAACTAAACTTTAAGAAGTATCTTTGTAAAAGTTTTAAAACTATATAATAGAATTAATTTTAATATTCTACTATTTTTGGATATTGTTTGGTTGAGGATTTTTAAATTTTAATTATGAATGCTTCTAATTATTCATAATGACATTTATGTTAAATTTTATTTGCTTTTAATAGGGTTTCGAAGGAAGGATTGGATCATTTGGTGCATTAAGGAAAAAAAAACTAGCTTTAATTTTTAAGAATTATTTGCATTGTATTTGAAACTTAGAGTCATCTTTTAATGGCATTCATGTTGAAGTTAGGGTTTTTGCTTGGAAGGAAAAGAAAGACTTCTCATATATGAATTTATTCCAAATGCAAGCCTTGATCGTTTCATATTTGGTACGTGAACTTTCCATATGTTCATTAATAATTAGAATTTTTAACGGGTTTTTATGTCTCGAGTCATCTACAAAGCACAATTACATTGGCAAATGAGTCAATATCTTTTAAATTGTTATCAGTACTGGTGATTTCTTCTTATAGATCCAATCAAGAAAGCACAGTTGGATTGGCAAAGGCGTTATAGAATTATAGGAGGCATTGCCTGAGGACTTCTCTATTTTCATGAAGATTCTCAACTATGAGTTATTCATCATGATCTCAAACCCAACAATATTTTATTAGATGCAGAGATGAATCTTAAAATTTAAGATTTTGGTATGGCAAAATTGGTTGCAGCTAATGATCAAACTCATGATACTACAAGAAGGGCTGCGGGAACATGGTAAGTATAATACTCTTTGCATTGTCAATCTCAGCACTTCAAACACTTGGTACTTCATACACTTGGTAAATTGTTGATTATACTTTCATAAAATGTCGAATTACAGTGGGTATATGATTTCAAAATATATTAAGTATGGACACTTCTTAATTAAGACAAATATTTTTAGTTTTGGTGTAATTATTTTGGAGATTGTGAGTGGTCAAGAGAGTAGCTCTCCTCACCATGCAGAGGAAGGTGTGAGCGTTATAGTCTTGATAGGTATATGAGATTGACATGCATGAATTTTAAAGGTTTGTTGGTTTAGCTGTTCAGGAACAAGCTCATAGCAAATATCCAATGTTAGGTAGGGTGGGGCATTGAGTCATGGAATCCGCAATTTCCCTTCCACAAGCTCCAGTTATTGAGCAGAGAAGGGTGGGAATTTTTATCGATGAATGTACCCAGACAGTTTAAGGACTTGTCTACTGACTGTTCTGTGTGCTTTCCGTCTACTTAAAAGCTGAGATTTGTCTGAATGGTTCATTTCGGTCTAGTGGTATTGAATTTTGATTAGAATTATTCACCTCCAATAAAATTACATGCTCGAACTTTACAAAATCTCTTTTCCTACTCTTCAATTAACTCTATAAATAATTATAAATTATTTTTAAAAAACAAAAAGCTGAGACTTTTCTACAGATTGGTTAATTGAAGATTTCCATTCGAACACGACATGACTTTATTGGGCCACTGCATTCCCAGTTTCCCACATTTTCCTTTCACAGCCTCCAATTTCTGACAAATCTTTAAATGATAAAGGGGCTTAGTAAAAAAAGGGACAAAAAAAGCCTATAATGTCAATTAATATACCAAATTGAGTAACTGTACCAAGTTGTATTTATAGAGTTTATCAACTCACACAAACTTATCTGAACAAACCGAATAAGACTCCTTTAGGTTGGTACCATGCCTGGTAATAGGTTGGAGAAATACTTCTTGCAATTAATTGAGCCTTTAGTCAACATGACAGTAAGTCCTTTAGGTTGGTACCCTGACTAGTAACAGGTTGGAGA